TGCTTGCTTTCCCCCTTTTCTGTTTCTGACTTTCCTATTGTGCCTTCTTTCTCCCCTCTGGGTAACTAATAATAAAGTCTCACTCCCTTACAGTATTTTGTCCTCATTTGTGCCTTAATTCACATTGAGGGAATCGAATAACCACTCCCAAGTCTTACTGGACCAGGACATAGGGGTACAAAAAAGAATTCACAATGTAAACCATTTGAATTACATAACATAAGAGCAATTTAGCACAAGAATCCACAAGCAGACTCCCACCTTACTGAACTTCTTTCATGAGATGTATATGAGAAGAGAGACTTCTCTCAGTGTCCTCAGTCAGTGCAGCCAAATACTTCCCAAACATTCTATTGGTCTTTATCCCCTAAGAACTTACCCTGATCTATTTTAATACCACAGCTTTCTAGACCCTACTTATAGATATGAAATTATGTTTTCAGACAGGAAGAATAAACATCTCTGCATTTTAACTTCTGGTTCCTTAGCAGACATTTGCCATGGCTGAGTTTTGACTACCTAGGACATTTCTCTCCTTCAGAAAACAAAAGTTACAATTCACATATTTTAGACAGTGACTGTCACAGAAGAAGTCTTCCAACACTGACAAGAACCTGTGTGTACTACAGGAACCCACAACTACAAAACGTTGGTTTCTGTGGTAAGGATTTTGTCAGCTATATTGCTGAAGAAAAATCAAATCTTTTCCATGACATTAACAAAGTATCTAAACCACCATCTTTTAATTATTAAATTATCAAAAATGCAAAAGGCATCTTTTCAAGTGTGATTAGCCAGTATGTGATAACAGTATAACCACTGCAATGAACTGGAGAAAGAGATTGTAATCAGAATTTCCAAAATAAACCTATTAATCTAAAAGAACAGAAAGCTGCAAAAAGAGTAAACTGGAAATCCACACAACAATCTCAACTGAGGTTTCTCCTCTCCAAAAAAAATTTGCCAAACACTAAAATCATGTGTAACTGACAGATTCCTGCCTCCAACAAGCTGTCAGCTTTATTTCACCAGGCAAAAATTCAGAACTGAGAACTAAAAATAAATACTTCTATCTGTAAATAAGAAAAGCATTTCTTTCTCATGAACATTCACTAAAATAAACCAGTGTTTTGTAGAGAAGATTCCAAATAAAGCAAAGAATCATGTGATTAAAGCATGAAAATCCCATTTACCTAGGGCTGTATTTATGATGCGAACAGGTACAGTTATCTGCGTTTTATCCAGTAACCTGGATAAAGGCCTCTGTGAAGCCTGAAGAACTACAATCTAGTGGAATGTATTAATATATACTACACTCGAAGATCCTAGAGTCTATATCACCATAGAGACCAGCACTCTAAGAACCTTTTCCTGCTTCTTGAATTGAACATGGGGGCCAGGACATCCCTGCATTTACAGAACTCCCAATGATAAAAACAACTCCCTTTGAAGTAGGTGCAAATAGTTAAGAAACAACAAAGAACAAGCATTGCTGTAGCTCTCAGTGTAATTATCATGTGCCTTTACTCACAATTGGTATAATTCACTAAGACCTATGAGTCACAGGATAGGTATACTCAGACTTAAGAGCTTACACCTCTTACTCTTCTACAGGAAGCGATTTTTTACTCTGAGGGTGGTAAAACACTGGAACAAGTTGCCCAGGGAGGTTGTGGATGCCTCAAACCTGGCAGCGTTCAAGATCAGTTTGGGTGAGTCCTTGAGCAACCTGGTCTAGTGGGAGGTATCCCCACTTACAGCTGAGGGTGTTCAGACTAGATGAACTCTAAGGTCCACTCCAACCCCTTAACATGCTATGAAACTATGAAACATAAACACTTACTGTATATTACTGGGCAACATCCAAAATACTTAATAAAGAGATTTGCATCTAGAGCAGCACTAGAAATAATTAGTTTTAAATTTGTCTGGTTTTGCAACACATCTCTTAGTTTTATTAACAAGAAGTCACTGAACCTATCCCTCTCATGTACTTCATCCTATAACAAAAGGAAAAAAAGATGCAAAATCAACAGATAAACATCACAGAACCAAGATCATAACTTTTCACAAAATGAACTTCTTAAAAAATGAAATATATAATTTTGGAGTACATTACAGAGGCATTAAAATGTGTAACTCTAGCTTAAGTAAGGATTTTTTTAAACTATCCAACAGTAAAAATATATTCAATAATCTTTATAAAGCTATCAGAGCAGACTGCACTGTAATGCACAAGCCACATACACCTTAGTTTCAGAGGTCAAAGTGAGTATTTGAAACTTCTCAAATCCTTGTATTTGAATCTCATTTTCAAGATAATTCAAAAGCTGCAAATCCTGTAAATCTTATTTTAATAATTTTCCCCTTCGAATCTGGTGAGCATTTAAAACACTCTATGCTACCACATAACCAAAAAAAAGAGATTGCTCAGATCCATTAAGTCATGCGCAAAGCTTATCATTAAGGCACATGACTTGGTGCAATGAGTCATCTTTGTCGATCTTCTGTTTTCTTTTATATTATGAATGTATGAAACTGGGACCCAAATACAAGACTGGCATGCTGAAGTCAAGAATGTGTAAATCATTCTCATGCCTTTTTTCACTTCAGTAAACAGAGAGACATCTAAAGTTACCATGATTTCTCCTGTCTTCAGCAGTGGGGAATTTGTGCTAAACATTCTGGTTCCACTGACTTACCAACACCACAGTAGGAAATTCACATAATCATAAATGAACACACTTAAATAATTTGCTAAAAATTAGACCACATATCTTGAAAACACTGGGCAAACAACTGGACTGTGAACATGGTATATGATAACAAATTTTGACACCCTCACATTAAAACATATCTACATAACCCTCCCTAAGGCTGACAGAAGAAGTTCAGAAGAATTTAAAACTCTGCCCTGCACAACTGCATCAAAATTACAAAACACATTATTGGCATGGCCCTAAAATAAGATGCTTTTACAGGAAAAAAGCCACATAAAACACAAAATATGCATGCTACAAAAAAAGACTCAAAGAGTCTTCAAGTTAATTCAGATTCTAACCACACAAGAACACCTCAAAGGTTCAGCAAACTAATGCAGAAAACTAGGATCTCATCTTCCAATTAGCAAGTAATACATACTGCTCCACCTCACATGAAATCCAAGTTCCTTACCACAATAACATGTGTCACAGTTGATAGGGTGTTGTCTCCTGCCATTAGCATGCGAAGCAGTATGCCGTTAGTGCAAAATGTTACCAGTGTCTTTGCAGAAACCCTATTGAAGAGTTCATAAAGATGCTTCAGGTTTTTTTCATCCTTTAAAATGCTGATATCTTTCCAATATTTACTAAAAATTAAAGGATTGAACAGCTGCTCACCAGCAGTGGAATCACAGTTCTCTCACCAAAGGATTCATGCATACTATTTGTGTATAAACTATGCTATTCCCAAAGACTTCCTAAGGATTCATAGTGTTTATGCTCCAAAAATTCACACAGTGGATTAAGTGACATGGCAAGATTCACTTTTGCATAATTAATTAATTAATTAATTAAGCAAGTGAAGCAGAACCTTGAGAAACTGTCCACTTTGTTCAATTTACTGGAAAAATTCAGTGTGGACTGCTTTGGAAAAACAGGTTCCAGTTCTTCAGCATCTGTTTGGACACAGTCTTTGTATCTGCCTAAATGAGGCGGGTTGACCTTGTCTGGATGCCAGGTGTCCACCCAGACTGGTCTATGGCTTCCCTCCTCAGCTACACAGGGGAGACAACACAACAGAAGGCTCAGAGGTCAAGATAAGGACAGGGAGACCACCAATTACCATCACAGACAAAACGGACTTGACTTGGGGAACTCTGAGTACGACAATGAGAAATAGAAACAAATCTTACGCCACCTTCCCCCCACCCCTCTCTTCTTCCTAGGCTTAACTTTACTTCCAATTTTCTCTACCTCCTGCCCCTCAGCAGTGGAGAGGGATGGGGAATGGGGGCTGTGGT